TGAGGTTTTCACCTTAAAATGCTCAACTATTTCTCATACTTTCAGACACAAAGAACAGAGTTTAATTAATTTGCCTTGAATGCTCAACTGCACAGCATGCTGTGTGCTACAACCTGATTACACACAAATGAATGGGCTGTAGTGCTGTTACTGCTGATTAAAAATACTGAATCATGCTGATCACAATTTGCTGCTTAATACTTCATAGCAGGTGGAATGAATGCTTGGATACACACAATTATTGAAGTAGACTGAAAGGCAGAAATCCTGCTCTTTCATCAGGTTATTAATAGTTTATTTTCCCTCCAAACATAGATAACTATCCTGGCTTGAATGCTAAAGTAGGGCGACTGGTACAATAAACAGATTCACAGTCCTACGAAGACCAAATCAGATCCAAAAGTTGGTAGTGTTGCATTTCGACCGAACATCTCAATTCATACACATCATGTGGGGTATTGGCTGGGTCATGTATGCTCCACGTCAACATGCTGCGCTGTATTAATGTTGGGGGTTTGTATTAATCTCTTCCTGTTCTTGTTTTTTTCTGGTGTGCAATTTCAATTTCGCAGTGAGCTAAGAAACTATACCGACCTGACACAGTTACAAAAGCCTTTCTGTATATGAATACATTGAGTTATCAGTGAGAAAGCAGACAGAGAGATGTGTGCGGTCTTGTCAACTGTCCATACTGTTCCTGAAATTAAAGTTATTTTAAGGTAAACCAAATGCAAGTTGGAAGCCTATATTAAACATATACATTGCTCAAACTCCCATGCCTGAAGGCACAGATTACATGTGGTACTTAACTTCACACTCACATGTATCCTGGTATGCGATCCCAGAACGAGGGAACGTGAGCAGCATGGCCTGCTTTGATGAGCTGTCAGATTATAGATTACCAAGGAGCCCCATTAAAACTCACAGCAGCACTGTTCCACTTTCTGCTCCCCCATCAGCTGTTTGTGGAACCTGTCAGAGAGATCAGGACACTTGCCAGAGTTTAAGGGGGGAGAGGGGGATAGTAAGGAGGGGGGTGATGGCAAAGTAAGAACAAGACAATTACAAGGAGGCAGGCAGAGAAACGTGAGCTGACAGTGGAAGGGCAGAGGGTGGGAAGAGAAGGCTGGCTGATAACCAGCCCGTTATTAGATTTGATTTATGGAGTTGTGTCCTCTATTGAACAGCCTTTTTTCAGCTTCCTCTATCCGAGTGTAGGATCTCACTGCTGGCACATGTCAACACTGCACTCTACAGGCTGGATGGGGAGCTTCAAAATAAAAAGGCGACGTGGAATGGAAACTATAAACAAGAGTCATTTTTTACATATTTATTTTTAATTCTGAAAAAATATATAAAGGTGACATTGTAAGCTAAGAATAGGTCTACATTTTATAAATATGGAGGGGGCAGTATGAGTAAGCTTATATGAAACATGAAATATAAAATAGTCAGTTATCTGGACAAAGGCTGGATGAAAAAACAACTACACAGAGACAGTCTGAATATTTATGCTTTTTCAAAACATTGTATGCCAACATATATTTTTTATTTAGTTTGTGCTTCTTTTCTTTGACAATACACTTTGTAAATAAATATCTTTGTAAATAACTTGTGTCTTGTAATTTGGCATGACAAATTATTTAAACTAACTATAATAATTGAATGAACTAAGAAGCAGCAAGTAAAGTCAGTCAGTTTGGTTATTACTGTTTCTACTCTTGTCAACCCCAGAGCCAATTATCAATGGCAGCTCTTGTGTTATAGAGCAATTTAGACAGATTGCCCTGTGTGAAACTTGGTTTTAACTGAGCTAATTTCACAACACAAACTCAAACATCTAACCCAGCCATTCATTTACAAAAGAATATAAGAAACAGTGTGAGTGTAGAATTATAAACATAGAGAAAACCAGATGCTAAGGTGACTTTACTTATAGCTTACTCCTGTAACAGTTTCTGCAACAGTATGTGGCCGTTGTGCCTACTTCCCCCTCCTCTAATATTATACCAGACTCCAAGGACACAGTAATTGATGTTACAAACATTCCAATTGTTCCTCAAACCCAACTATCCTTCTCTTGCACAAAAACATTTAAGACAATTGGATTAGATTTTAAGACCTTGGCTGGAAAAAAAAGAACAAAGTTAAAAACATTGCTGACCAAAGGCAAAGTCTGTGTGCATACGTTTAACTTTGGATGGAGTAAACACAATAACCTTAAAGCTAAATTGATCCATTGGATTTTAAATATGAGAACAGAAAAAGTATTTTCTCCTGAACTTAATGTTGCCCATCCATTGCTTAGCTGTGACGCAGAATGATTCTCTGAGAGTGTGTTGACAGATGTTTAGTGGCCAAAAGGAGAAAGTGAATTTCATGATGAAAGTTGAGAAAGAAGGAGGCTGTGAACAGAATGCCTCATAGCTTCAGTTCCATAGTAATGAGTTACGTTCATGTTTCATCTGGATGGCTGCCATCTTGGTGAGAAGGATTCACTCTGGCAGTGGGGATGAGTTAGTTGCTGCAGCTGTGACATTATAGCTGACACTTCCTTGTGAGTAAAACACATAACAACGCACATTCACTGCAGCTTTATTCTCACGGGTATACAGAAAAAACGACTACTTCGCTCGGTCAACTTTTCTTGAAGGTGGGAAGATAATTGATGCAATAGCTTACATAAAAACTGCTTTATTTTCTGCATTTGCCTGAGGATTCAGAACCTGCATGCCGGCGGTCTGGGTAACCATTTGTTCTACTTCTCTAATCCGTACATCAATGTTTTACTGCTCCCTAGTGGACAAGGATAACAACTGCAACTCTCTATGATGCCACAGAGACATGAGTCTGCCATCCACAGTTTTCCCTTTCTAAGTAATTGTGATATAATACATTAATGGTACTGCAACACTTTTAACAATATTGGAGTATTTTTCTGATGCTATTCTGTAATTGCCTCGAAAGTAGCCGTAAATGAGCTTGCTGCTACTGCACTACGGTGGCTGAGAAGTGCAAACGAGAATTACAAAGTGTGAAACACTTTAACAAAGCTTGAGACAAATTTACATTTTATAAAACTAATTGACATTAGCAAAACACTTTTAACAAAGAAAAAACTATTTAACATTAACAAAAACAAACTAACAAGATGCGAAACACTTTTACAAAGCTAGAGACAAATTAACATTTTATAAAACAAAATTACATTAGCGAAACACTTTTACAAGAACTGAGACAAATGTACAAGTCTCGAAACACTTTAACATTTCCCGAAACTCTTTAACAAACTAGAGAATCAAACCGGAAAGGGAATGTTTTGTCCGTTCTGTGGAAACCACCTGGGCCAAGTGACACGGTTTTGCTCATCACGATATACTTTCTCGTGCGCACGAGAAAGTTACCGGTTCACCAAGTAGGAAGTGGAGCTGTGCCTTCACTGTGTTTACCTTCATTAGAACAGCTAAAGAGCGACTGCAGGCTGCTTCGTTTGAACCACACACACCTCTACACACACACACATTACATTACATGTTACTCGTTAGACGCTTTTATCCAAAGCGACTTACATACTCAATACTGTGGGCAATCCCCACAGGAGCAATTTGGGGTGAAGTGTCTTTCCCAGGGACACAACGACATGCTGACTGCAGTGGGGTTTGAACCTGTGCTCCCCTGATCCGAACACCATCTCCTTAAAACGAGTAATAGGGGGAATATTCGGGCAGTTCGATGTGTGTGTGTGTGTAGAGCTGTATGTGTGTAGAGGTGTGCGTGTGTGTGTAGAGCTGTGTGTGTGTGTGTGTAGAGCTGTGTGTGTGTGTGTAGAGGTGTGTGTGGTTAAAACGAAGCAGCCTGCAGTTGCTCTTTAGCTGTTTTAATGAAGGTAAACACAGCGAAGGCTGTGTGTAAAAGGCACAGCTCCACTTCCTACTTGGCGAACCGGTACCTTTCTCGTGCGCACGAGAAAGTATATCGTGATGAGCAAAACTCAGTTCTTGTAAAAGTGTTTCGCTAATGTAATTTTGTTTTATAAAAAGTCAATTTGTTTCTAGCTTTGTAAAAGTGTTTCGCATCTTGTTAATTTGTTTTTGTTAATGTTAAATTGGTAAAAGTGTTTTGCGAATGTAAATGAGTTTTATAAAATGTTAATTTGTTTTATAAAATGTAAATTTGTCTCAAGCTTTGTTAAAGTGTTTCACACTTTGTAGTTGTCGTTTGCACTTCTCAGCCACTAACAATTAGTATCAATGTTTTCAAATTGCCACCGTTATTAAGCCATTAACTGCATATTATAAATTAATTATGATTTCTAAAAGATTGAGGCTGACACAGAGCTGAGGGCCAGCAGGCTCTGTGCAACAATGCTAAGTTTAGATAGATATTGAAAAACCCAAATTGACCCCATCTATAATTTACTGACCATTTGAGTACATCCTAAATAAGTTAAAGACCTTTCCATGTACCACAGGAACGCTTCAATCCTATTGCCTGACAGTGACATTTCAAACAAAGCACCCGCTTTTAAAGTTTTTGAGGATTTTAGCTCTCAGGGGGAAACACTAACAAGCTACAGCGAGTATTATGTATTGATGGAAAGGTTTTCTGTGGTTTGTTTTTTAAATATACACCAAATCTTCAGTCTGCATAGAGTTATTATACAAACATTGGTCATAACAAGTCTGGAACTTCTGTAAAACTTTAACTTGTGGGTTCTTTTTAACAACCGAAATGCCGAAATTATATAAGTTAGGGTTATTCACATGGGCTTTGTAGAAGCAAGATAAAATTCTGTTTGTAAAACACTGCCGACATAAAAACTCACATCTTCTTATTAAACTTTAGAACACAGTATCCTGTGCTTGCTTAACAGGTGTACAATTCATAATTGTTTTACATTTTCCAAAATGTATCACAAAAACGAAATATGCTATTCGAGTGAAAACTCAGCAGTGCTTGCTGATATATTCCTCATAAGAAAGTCCAAATGAAGCTGAAGATGTAAATATGCTTTTTTACTACGGTCATTAAACTGATATATTGGTGAACAGTCATTGAACAGGCACAGGATACATTATGTGCTTTTAACAGATACAACCATGGCTGTTGCCGTAGTTTTGAAAATGCAGCAGGCAATATGATATCTGAGCACATGAGTTATTCCAATTAATATGACATGTAAGTAATAGCACCAAACAAAATGACAGCTCCAATAAAAGCTTCAAATTAAATCACAAGAATCTGACATGCCTGCAGAGGTGAAAATTAACACTTGATAATAATTGCAGGAGTTGTGTGTTGAGCTTTTGAAGGGGTTTCCATCTGGAAACCAAAGAAGCCACAGAGCTGAAAGGATCATTAACTTTGATATGATGAAAATAGCCACAGGCCCTTAACAATGAGTCACAGTTTTAAGAAGTTTTCAAATAAATCTGATGGCTTTGTGAGCTTCTTGTACTTCTATATTTCAAAATTCAATGTTTTATAAATGTCTCCCTTTCTGCATCAGAGATTTTATCGATCAGTGTTTTGTTGAATTTACACACTTTCCAGGAGACAGTCTTACTATTTTAGATGGGAATTTATCTGTTGGCCAGTGATGCGATGCAGCACCTTCATTCGCTTTGAGAATATACAGCATATCATTTAACTTAGCCACCAACCAAATCCATCCTTTTTTTGTAGAAGTGAGATGAATCTTTGGACTAAAATCACTCTGTGGTCACGCAGCAATGCTTTAAATCAGACGGGCCACACTTAAGACTGAAGTATTACTGTACAGGACATTAGACTAGTTTTAAAAGGCTATTCTGTAACTTTAAATTGGCTGTGCAGAGACCTGGTGGTCAGTGTGGCACCAGATAATGGCGGTATTAATAAGGGAAAGGAAAAATGTCTCCATTGTTCTTAAATCACCCTCTGACTATCTGCTCTCTCACAGGACACAGCGAGGCCGTGAGGAAATTAAAAAACCCACCACTGGGCAAATGTGAGTTATTCCTCCACATCCATGAATCATTTACACAGCTTAATTAAAATTATATTTTCTGACATGACCTTTTACCAATGTAGGTTATACATGATCACCCTCATTGGCTTCACAGGCTACTAATTCATATCCATCAGCCTGGCTGCCCTTTTAACAATTTATCTTAATATTTGTATTAAATGTCACTAATGTCACTCAGGAAGGTACAGACTTAAGCTCATTTCCTGCCCACCTCACTTCCTCAATCGTCAGTCAGGACTGTGAAGGGTTTAGTTGCATACATTCAGAATCAGCATGGATGTACCTGCAGGGTGACTGTTCACATGATCAGCACCAACAACCTGAGTGAGGGCGAGAAAACACAAGCCATGAAATATATATATACATGTTCCACTTTGTACCTTTAGGCTGCAATGTTTCTCCTACTCACATTGTTGTTTCTGCTCGAGGAGGAAAGAGGAAAGCTCACCACTCCATCAATTTGTTTTTCCTCTGGACAGCAAGAGCTGCTCTGATCCAGGGAGACGAACAGACACTGTGTCTGCAGACCTGTACTTCCTGTTTCACTCAGCGATCACATTCTTTAGGAAAGCAATTGGCTCCTACAAATCAAACACTGTGCTTTTTATCTCACTCACTCACAAATTAAGTAATTTATGGTGACCCCAAAAAAAGAATAAATCACCCAGTTTCATGCATCTTGGGAAACATTACTATAGGTTATTAAAGGAATATCTCAACATATAAGAAAACAGGTGTATAAGCTCCTTATCCAGCGCAGAAACTCAGTTACATTGTTACTCAGGAAATGGTCCCTCCTGGAGTACTTTTAATGCAGCACACCGTTAACTCTTACTCAAGTACATTTTGGTAACAAAAGAAAGAAAATTGTGATTACAACAAAGACATGAAGAACTTGATTGAATCAGAGCAAAGAGGCCATAAGCAAACAATTCAAACTACTCCTTAAAGATTGATGTTTATACATTAAAATAAAAGTGAATGCTTGTTCCAACCAATGCAGAATAAACAATAAGATTAGATTAAAAGTACCAAACAGTTTTGTCCCATCTTCAAGGTGTGTTGCTCCCCATTAATTTTAAGTGTATTAGACTTTGTTGTTTTTCTTTCAGCGGTAAAGCTTTTATGCAGCGTGTCTTGTTAAAGTCCTTTGGGAGGACACAGTAACCTTTGTGCTTCTTCGAATGATTATTTTCCCATTACCTTCAGTCAGTCCAATCAATGCTGAAACGCGTATAATAAGCTTTTTACTCAAGCACGTCTGCGGGATTGTTTGTGTTTGCTTGTTCTTGAAGAAGCGGAATTGATTGAAAACCTGCAAGATGGTATTTAGCTTCACTGGAAATCATTTGAATTACCAGGAGAAAGGTCACACCACAAAAATAGTCTTTATTGACAGATACAATCAATTATATTAAGGCAACAGCAATACTGAGACTGAGAGACTGACTGAGTGAGAGCATAATTTGGTTTTGCTTGCAGATTTATGTGAACTTACTTTAACAAAAGCGTAAAGATAAGTAAAGTTAAAATAAAATACAAAAATAAGCATTTCATAAATGATTGGCCCTGCACTGGGCTTCACATCTTCTCTGAGTTGGAGCTCTGTTGAAACAAACAAACATGCATAATGTAAATACAGGGTTACTCCCAGTTATGGGTAAAAATGAATGGATTATGTCAACAATACATATCCTGTTCAAATAGTTTGGAATGGTCTTGGTAACATAAGGCTAATGTTCATTCACATACATTTGCATTACTTCCTGTTAAAGAAATAGCAAGAACTTGTAGAAAATATGATTACTCACTTTCTTCCCAAGAGCTAGATGAAATGATTAATACATCTCTCTCTCTCTCTACATGTCTGTATGATACATATGAGGCGGGCCAGCAGTCATTTACTTTAGCATACTTAACCAAAGTATAGTTGTTTTCTCTTTTCACTATTATACAGGTCCAGACTAACTGTTTCCACCTGTTTCCAACCTTTATGCTAAGCTAACCTTTCCCTGGCTGTAGGTATATATTTAACATACACACATCAGAGTGGTATAGATCCTCCCCTTTCAGACTTGGCAAGAAAGTGGATCAGTGTTTTACTCAAATGTATTAAATCGCTAGTCAAGTTATAGTCCCGTTAATACATTATAACCTGATATTTCTTTGTGGAGCTGAAATTAAACAGTTGGTCTCACCTTGGACTTGAAGATGAGGTTGATGATTCCCTTTGAGCGCCTGTCTGCTGTTCTGTCAGAGGTCACACAGACAGACATGCTCTTACTGTCCCTCCTTGCTCTGACAGAGTCCACATCCTCCATTCCAGCCACCGCCAAGGACAGACCTACACAGAGCAACAACTGAGGATTTAGTGTCGGTGTTTCATTGATTAGCAGCTTACAAAGAAACCTCTGCCTCCTCCTGCAGCAGGGCCGATTAAAGTGACTAATTGTGCTCCTGCAGCTGAAATACTGATTAACTGTGTTCTCTGGCAACACGGTGGCACTGTGTGCATGTTCACCGAGGCTGTACAGCTTGTAGCCAGCGCTGCTAAACAGAGATGTTGTACAGTATTAACACCAGAGTCAATGCTGGCTCAGCTTGCCTGGCCGAAGATGGCAGGAAGCCAGAGAAAACAGTGATTTGTAGTTTGATGCACTGTAAAAAGGCGCTGGGTCATGTAACCGAAACAATGAAATATAAACTAGATGGCACTGCCGCCTAGTTCTGGAACAATTACTACCGACATGACTGATTCCCTAATTTGCCACCTTCCACCGGGTTGGTGTTAGGTCAGGCTATTACTGCAACAATCCCCAGCTTGCCAATGTGTTTGTATTCCTGCCATGACCTTGTGTACGATTTCCCTTCAGTCAGGGAAAAAGCAACACTTCCTCTCAGTGCGTGCATTTTCTATTTTTACTTGATGGGTTCTTGGCTCATTGGTTTAACTACAGTTCACTATGAAGCACCATGAGACATTGTGATCACCTGTGATGGCGGGCAGGGATCTGGAGTTGGCATTAGTCAGCGACACACTTCCTTCATTCGGCTCACACAGGTTGGTGTCACTGCGGAACTCCTGTTTCTTGGACAGCTAGAGGGAGACAGAAATCAAACAAAGCTCAGCACCGCCTCACACACTCGGCTCTTGCTGTCTTTTTCATTTCTTTACTTCCTTTACTCTCTCATCCTTTCCTCCCGGGATCAACCTCTCACCCGTTTGCTATCCATTGTATTCATCCTTTCTCTTTCCTCTGTGATGAAGATCATGCTGCTCCTCTTCTTCTTCTTCTTACTCTTCCTCAGTTTGACCTCTGCATCACCCACCGTCACCACTCCCCCCGATATACTTCCAGTCATGCTGCCACTGGAGCGCGGCAGGGTGGAGTTCCAGGAGGTGGGGGACTCGGGGGGGAAGTCCCTGTGAGGAGGCAGGAAGGGGGTGAGCAGGGAGTCAGAGGTTAACTCTTGGTTTTTCATATCCAGGTTGTTTTGGAGTGATTTTTAAAAGAACATGAGATGAGAAATACACCTGACATTTTGCTAAACATAAAACTAAACTAAACAAAGAAAAATGTAACACTGCACATTGCTTTAACAGAAATGTTTCGTATTTACATTTTCTTTACATAATTGATCACAAACATAATTAAATAACATAATTACATAATGAATACCCTCCACAACGCGTGCTCACAGCATTCCACAATTGAATACCAATGTTCAAAACAGAAAACTAGTGTAAAGAATCAGCTTCTGCAACTACAGAAGCTTAAAGGTATATAGAAAGAACAGATTGAAAGCAATTTTTTCAATGAACATTTCATTTAACACTGAGAAAAAGCTGATTTAAGTTGTGTAAAATAAATCAAACACAGCTGTTCCCTACATAAATGGGAGACATAGGCTGAGGTGATAGTGCAGTGGAAAAACTGTGGATTTCATATTTATTGCAAGTGAAACATAAACATGTTTTGTAACGCCATCAACTGTGAGTTTATCAATGTCAGTGTGTGGGTTGGATGTGTATGCTACCTGTCTGCATGGAGCTTGGTTGGAGTCCCACATTCAGATCCCTGCAGTGAGGAGATGGAGATGATGGACTGACGAAGGGAGCGCAGCATGGAGCGAGGACGAGTGGACTTCCTCTCATCCAAATCCGGCTGGAAATAGAGTTCAACAAGAATATTATTATATATGAAAAGTACTAGTAGTCCTGTACCTCTGCTTTGTTTCACTGTCTAGCATGGCTCATAGACAGTGAAACAAAGCAGACGTACATCATTAGAAAATGCTGGGAAAGCAAAAGCAAGGTACTTTTAGCCCAGCACCCCCCATACCCATCATTAGCTTAATCTCTCCTTAAGGGCCAAGTCTATTTACACCAGTTAACGATCACATTTAGCCCCAGTCAGATCACCTGAGCCATGCCCTAGTTGTAGAGAAATTTTAAAAGGTACAAATCCCATATCAACACTACACTTGAAGGCTTTTGTGAGTACTTTGATCTTTCAAATTTGTCTCTGTCAGCTCATTTGCAGCTTAATTAGCGCAGTGCTACCAGAGTAGATCTGTGTCCAGCCTCGCAGAAAAAAACATATCTTGGATTACAGAGACATGTTCTAGTAAAGAATCTCTCCATACTTTTTGTCAGCTCTCCTTCTCCATCTCCCCTGTTCTTACCAGCTCTCTCACTCCGTACTCCTTCTGCACTTTCTTCTTCAGCTGTTTGAAACACTCCTCCATGCGCTCGTGGAAAGGACGAAGGGCCTCCATCACTCTCTTGCCATGGAGAGCGATCCCACCACCCAGTAAAGGGATCTATAAATACAAATATTATGGTGTCAACAGAACGTTCTCATAAAACCATCTATGTGGTGTGTATGTGAAGTGTGTGTTAGTGTGTTCAGTACCTGCCATGCGATGAGGTCCTTAAGGCGCAGCAGTTTGTCTCTGTCCTCCGGGTGCTGCTGAGTGAAGTCTTCGGTAAAGAACGCCTGATACAAAGAAACATTTAAAACTCATTTAAAGAATCCTGGCGTTTGGTTTCACCTACCCAGGCAGTTTGTTCATGAATTACTGACTTTTCCACCCACATGTGCACATTCAAGCTCACTGATCTTATCCTGTGTGGGAAATGAAATCACGGAATGGTGTTGGAGAATGAATACTAACAATGTTTCTGGTTATGGATAAAACGATCTTTGCATTTAATGAAATAGGCAATTTTATTGTAATTAAGCCTCAGGAGATGATAATGATTTTCATCATTACAGCTCAGATAGCCCTTAATACATGATTATGTGATAGGTATAATAAACTGAACTCGACTGTTCCTATATTAGTTTGAAGAAATCTATATGAAAATGGCCATTATCTGATCCAGAACAGAAGCTATAAAGTGGGGAGGAAAGGGATGATTCTTTACCTTTTCATACTTGGCAAAGCCGCCCATGACAGCTGGGTCCACAATGCCATTGAGCAGCATGGAGAGGGGGTTGATGGGAAGGGTCCAGTCAGCCTGATACTGGTTGATCATGGTGAGAATCTTCTCGTTGGTGGACTCCATGGTCTCTATGGCGTTTTCCAGTGGAGACAAGGTGGTCTGAGCGGAGAAACCAAGTGATGAAAAGAGCAAAGGGGTTTAAGTAGAGAGACATTTTATTAATATGGAAGAAGACGAGACCAATGAAGTAAGAGGGGGGGGGGTTTTGAGGGTGGGATGAAGGAAAAACATTCAGTTAAAAAACAAATGAAAAATAAATGTATTGGTGGAGGTGAGACAGAGGATGGAGAAAGAGGAGGCATTAGCTCAGAACACAAACGGAGTAACCCCCCCCACCCAACCACAGACTCACATGTTTCATGTCCGTAGCCTCAAACCAGCGCAGGATCCCTGGCAGCTTGTACACAGTGGTGAAGGTTGTGCGTTCAATCCACATTGACTGAAAACAGATTTGAAAAGGGAATAATAAAGGAAAAAGCGATTAGATGACATTGTATATAACAAGTAATATAATACAAAATAATATATATTGTATTAAGGGTGTTGGTAGTTGAGAGCAGAGAGATAGAGAGGGAATAGTTATGGTCGATGCTAGAGCGTACAAGAAAATATATAGTGACCGTAGCAAGAACAAAGCAGAACATTATAAATATAAATGTCCATGTACAGGAGGATTTATCAGCCTTATTGTTTTTGTCTTTTCAGACTGATAACAATGCAAGTACACAACAACTTCTGAAACACTTTCCCAGTGGTCTTAAGTCTTATCACAAAAAACTAAATGGAAAAACTCACAACAAATTCATTGTTTGGGTCCACAGGTCCTTTCTTCACCGGTCTGGAATAGTGAAAGCGCTGCACGTAGTTGGACTTGTAGAAGCTGGACATAAAAGAAGAGGGAGACGGAGGTAAAAGGCACACAAGGAAAATAAAAAACGAATTTGCAACATTGTCAGAACTATTTTTCACATCATTTCATACACCAACACATATTTATTTGAAATAAATGACCGGTTAAACATGCTCTTTGACTTACTTGATGATCTGATCGGGAACAGGTTTGTTCTTCAGGCGAGGAGGAATCTCGAGGACTGGCTGCACTGTGAAACACTGGATATCTGGTTCACAATGCTCAGGAAGAAAACATCAATACAGTTTGGACAGGACAGTACATCCACAGCTGTGGCAAAATCTACACACTGATAGTTACACTACTGACAACACTTCAGACATCCAGTGGCAGGGTTTTAAGATATATACATCAAAAGATACAACTAATGTAAAGACAAATGTCTCTGTGATAAGTTCTGATACACTTGGATTCGTTTTTTTGTGTCCACCGATATTTTGTTTTCGAAAACACTGAAAGATACACTTCCTCTTCAACCCAAAAAGAACCTTAAGGTACAGCATGTACTGTATATTAAAGTCTACTTCATATATTCAGTAAATGACTGAGCATTACTACACTTGACTGTAAGACCACAAAGTGCTTGTACATCTTTCTATGTATATCTATGATTGCACATTAGTGTATTTCTGTGTGTGCCACGAGGATACACTGCAGTGGAGAGTTCTTGATGTCGTCTCCTGGCATGGTGGTGGTGTTGAGGTGCAGAGCGCTGGGGAACTGGCTCATCAGATGGTTCTGGAAGTCCTCTCTGCGTTCGTACTCCTTTCCACGGTGGATAAACACCTTGTTCTGCAGGCATAGGATATGTATGTTATATAAGAGTGTACTGATGGTAATCAAACCCTTATGTAGCCTCTGATCAACACATATAGAGTTGGTAGTGCTTGTAAATATTTCTCAAAGTGGGCCAATGCCTGGTCTCCCTTATCACTGCCCTGAGCTACTAAGAACTGACTCGCGGCCTTTATCAGACTCCTTACCAAAGCAGATGAACACATCTAATGAATATTGGAGCTACAAACAGCGGAATATTTATTTCTGCAACTTGCTGGAATCCACAGATCAACAACGCTCCCTGAAGGTACAATATGCCCCCTTCTGTTAAGCATCTTGCTAGTGTGTTTGGAAAGTTGTTTACTGTTGCAATTTGAAATAGCTAAGCTTCAGTGCTGATAATGGAGAATAAGCGTTTTCTTCGACTGCTTTGTACAAGAAAGGGTAGTCGGTAATACCTTTGTATTCCTTACACAGCGTGATCCAACGGTTTGAAAAGTGAAAAAGCTATGCATAATATTCATTAAAAGTAAACCATGAGAAAGACAAACCCTGAGGAATGGAGGGTAGCCCTGTCCGTAGTAGCCCACTGCAAAGTAGTCCGGCTTAGGCCTCAAGATCTTCATGATGTTTTCATAGAACTTGGCTTGTTTCTCCTGCAGAGCGAGAGAGAGAGAGAGAGAGAGGGACAAAGAGAAAGACAAAGGATGTGTTCAGGGGAAAGTTTCAGATGGTGCAGCCGTAGCAGTTTTATCAGCTTGTGCCAAAGACAAAGCCACCCTCAGCAGAATGCTGTGAGCTTTGATGATAGATGTAGAAACAATAAAGTGCATAGCATCCAAGGGCAATGTCTGTCATTGATATAACCACATACATTTGGCATTAGCTGAGCCACTGCTGCAGTCATATAAAAAGAGAAAGAGATTTTGAATTGTTGGTAAAAGTGTAATTCTATGTGGAGAGGGGAGGGGGTGAGTTCAGTGGAGGGGAGAAAGAGGAGAATGTGGGGTTGGATTTGTGAAGGAAGGAATCTACTGCTGTGGTGACAGAGCAAGAGAAGCAAGACACACAAGATTGATTGACAGTAAGAAGTGTTTGAAGTTTCATATGATTAGCAGTGATGAATCACTCTTCTGGGGTCATATAGTAATTGTGAAACCTCTAACCAGAGTTCTTCACACCAGAATTGAAGGGGGACTTGAATAGTTTAGTAGATATACATTTTTAAACATGCAATTTTAAAGTGCAGGTGACCTATCAAGTGTTGCAACTGTTCCATTTATATTTTCTGATCAATAGGCAACTTACTGAATGGCAGTTGCATAGATTCTGTTTTACTGTTAAAATGTCAAAGACTATTTGATCAATGTACATAAGATCCAGTACGCAAAAGGTGCACTGGATGTGAGCTATGTTACTGCAGCTATCAAAACACTCCCTCACACCCAAGAATATATATAACGTCTATAAAGGGGAAGTTAAGGGGAAAGTGGAAAATGTGAGAACATGATAACTGTGCAGACGATAAAGCATCAAGGTTTGAGATAGTCATTTATTACCAGTCTCTTGCTGAGTAACTCGTAGTCAAAGATCTCGTTTTCGTACTGTTCAGCCAGTTCCTTACAGAGAGTGATGGCCTCTTCCCACATCTAAAATGCACACACACACACACACAAAGAGCAAGAAGTATCCTTCATTACACCATCTGCAAATATTGTACATCTGAATCGGCAGCAGCTGTCGTGGTGGGAATTGTTCTTGTGAAATCTGTTTCCAGGTCTCTGGAGAGTGAAGTGAAATGTCTCTTTCAATGCTTCAGAGAACATAAAGCATTCATAGAGAATACAGAACGAATCTGACATCAACACACAAAGACTATGACTGAATACTTGATACAGGAAAGGAACATTTTCCAAAATAAAAGTGTATGTCTTGAATTCTGATCTTAGAGGCTTTAGAAACTATTTTCTTTATCGTTTTGTGAAATAAGTTCAAAAAGTTTTGCTACTTCGAAAAGAAAGATGAACTGTCCTGCTAAAAACTTTCTTTGTTTTGATTTTGGAGTGTTTATCAACATTTTTCAAATCATCACACGACTTAATGGAGGTCAAGATGGAGGAGCAGGTTGTGTTGTAAAGCCATGCTGACCTTGCCCTTGTCAAAGTAGTCGATGATGGTGTCGTAGAGCGTTTCTTTGAGCTGCCGCTGCGTTTGGGAGCCGTGGAACTCAAACTGGGGGCTGCACATCTCATCCAACCACTGAAATACAGACAGGATGGAAGATACACATAAAGATGAGAGGACAGAGACAAAATGTGAGATGCAGTATGTCAACGTGAATTAAAAAGAGTAGCCAGACCAAACAAGTTATTTACTTTCCCATTCATAATGACGTTAAAACAAAAGAGGAAAAGAACTTGAGGCTAATTTGTGTGTTGTAATGAATCAATGTTAGCCATAAGCAGAGTGTGCACCAAAGCAAACCGCACAATGCTCATTTATCATATAAACAAGACAATAATGTATCTTCCATTACATAAATTGCACAGAAATTCATTTAGGAACCAAACGTAAAAGTGCACAATGAGCAAAACAAACTTCACTGAGCACAGTTTAAATAAGTCTGTTAGAAGAGGATGACGGCATGCTGTGCCTTACTGCCCATTAATAAGAAACAGACATGACAGGACTGACACTAGAGATTAATTAAGTTCATAACAAATGTTATAGAGTTCAACTGCTTACTAGACAGAGAGGAGCAGAGAGACAGAAAGAGAGACAGAGAGAGAGGGAACAATGCTCTATTCCTCTGTCCCTCTCTGTGAAATCTAAGTATCCTATAAAAGAGGTCAAACACACGCAGACACGTGCGCGCCGACACTCACACAAAAAAGCTGCACGCATACAGACTCCTGAAATCAATCACCATAGTGATGCAGCACCAGTGGCCGATGCAATGCCATAAACTAACGGCAGAGCTTAATCATTCGGAGCCCAGGACCCATTTATCAGCATATAAAAAACTGTCTCATTTGTGGCTCAGAGACAAGTGATTAGACAGAGCAAGACACTAGCTACAGCATTAAAATAACAAAATATCCCTCTACATGTGTGTGTGTGTGTGTGTGTGTGTGTGTGTGTGTGTGTGTGTGTGTGTGTGTGTGTGTGTCCTACCTTGAGCAGGCGGGAGTGGAGCAGCAGTGTGTATGCTGCCTCCGTGTAGTTTTCACCCTCCAGATGAAGGTCCCTCAACTTGTAAAGGTACCTGAGAACACACGTGTAAAAACACACACAACAGAGGTCAAGTAAATGTAATATGCAGCTTCTGCATCAATCCACTAGATGACACTGTTGGGCAGCATTAATCAAGAGTGTGTCACTTTCTCACTCAATCGGTCTAATGCTCACACCATATAGCTACCCTGGAATATGTACACAACATAGAAAGGTCATGCAGGGCATATTCATGCAAACAAACAGAAGGGCAATTCAAAGTATGTCTTGTAAAAAGTCAGATGTTTTGTAGCCACAATATGTTTTATGAGCCCGACAGGAGGAAAATGGGAGCATTGGGCTGCTAGTGAACCCATTTACTATTTTACAGCTTCAGGTTTGATGATTTTTTGTTTCTTGTCGGGAAAAAAACATTCTGCCAGATCGCCAGAGGCTACACTTTCTTGCTAAGGCATTGATGACGAAGCAAGTAAGCAGTGGCTTCTACAGTAGATGCTTTCAAATGAGAAATCTTCTGTACGCTTGTGCAGTATGGATGCCCCCTTAGGGTTAATGTGTATGGCTACATGTTGAAGGGTCTCGCTTTCTTTTTTTTTAACCTCATGTCATCTTCTTCCTTCCATTTCCTCTTATTCTCTAAAAGAATTGGGCCAGGTACCAAACTTTGATCAATTTAGTCACCGAACAAATTACTTCAAAACTATCGAGTATAGAAATAATCCTTGTTATTTATTATTTATTTATTCCAATACCACAATAAGGAGTAAATATCATCGTTTGTGAGCCAATGATGTAATGTAGCATGCTTGTACAAAGATGCTGGTGATTGGCTTTATAATTATAATAGTTACATTGTGTAGAAGCACGCAGGAAAAAGCTATGGTAGACCCAGAGACGAAAAAAACCCATTAACGTTTGTCTCTTGGTCTCTCTTCTATTTATGCTTCCTGTTCTCTCTCTCCCTCCCTGACTATTCCCCTCCCTCTCATCCTCTATCTCCCTGGGTCTGTTAATCACAGGTGGTTTTCAAATTGCATTGGCAGGAGTCAGCTTTTAATTAGTCCATATCTGGGTGTTAGGAAACCTATTACAGGAACATTAGGTTTGTAAAATGTATTTCATTTCAGATCAATCTAATGTTGCCCTCTAATGAACATGAAGTGATATGAATCAATCACACAATGGAATCACAGAAAGCTATGGTTGAATTGTTCACCAGAAACATTGCTGGTGTGTTAGGGCCTTAATGCAGAAAACTACAGACGTCTCTCTTTGAAGTGTGACTTAAACAGGCCTTTCCACACTCTATACAAATGAGAGGTTTTCAGTACAGCATTTGGTGGGTTTGCATAAAAGACGTGACACATGTAGTACATTAAAAAGTCAGTATACATTCTATGAATTGATTATTACTTTTGTGTGCAACAATATTATGAATTACTGAAGGTGAAACTCAAGAGTTGATTTTTTTAATAATTTGTCTATTTTAGTGAGACAGCCGAACAAAGATAATAAAACAAAATAATAATAATTAAAAGTTTGGAAAAACATTTTCTAAATTCATAGTTGAAATTACCTCTAAAAAAGTTGTTCTTTACCTGACTTATCAGTAAAGAAAGGTCAATTACTTCTGCTTGCTGCAAACAAATAGTTTAGTATGAACACTAGAGATAAATAAATAATACAGTTCATTAAAGGAAATATTCAGTAGTCAACTGTTGTATCATTTAAATTATAAATGTAAGCAATTAAGATGCTAATGTAATGGTCCATAATTCACACCCTGAGCCACAACCTAATTAGTTTGTGGTTTTATTATCCACGCATGGCCTTGAGTAATATAGCTACTGTGTAAGATAACATTATGCTTAATAACATAACACATGCTGTATGTAGTTATCTAATGTTCATTTATGTCGCATGCTGTAAAGCCTCCTGAGACAAATGTGTGATTTTATTCAATATAAATAAACTTAGATTGACTAATGTATTGATTCCATTAAACTGTGTGTACATGCTAACATAAACTAGGGAGCCGGCCAAATGTTAACCATATTCTCTACATGAGAGACGAAGGCTTCTGACCAACCACAGAGCTGAGCTCACATCTGAACACACAGATAACTAATTAGGTCCATAAGCCACCGCCAGAAATGCACGTGGGACCTGACGGGATCTGCATTTCCCTCTCTCTCTCTCTCTCTCTCTCTCTCTCTCTCTCCCTCCCTGCCAATCATGTCTCTCTTTTTTTATCTCCTCGCCCTCCAGTCAGACCAAGAGCTGATCCTGTGGATTCTGACATTAATTCAGTGGGACTCATATAATCCCTTGTCAGATTATGGAGCCACACACACACACGTACACACACTCAGACACACACATGCAAGCATCTACAATGTGGAAACACACCACTTAAATGTATTTCATGTCAAATTCAGCACATAAATACCTGATATACATCCCTTCACGATTGATGTCCTTGTAAAAGTTCTGTGAAATAGAAAGGAGAAGACGGTTAGTGTCAGTCAACATTGGTGTGTCTGTGTGTGTGTGAGATTTTTAAGGTCATTTATAAATGCTGCACTAACTCACTAACTCTTTGTATTTGCGTGGAAGAGTATTTGTCTAAATGGATGTATGTGTGCGTTATATTTGAAATACTTCTGATTGCCTGTGTGTGTGTGTTAGTGGGGTTTATGCGCGGTTGTTAGATAAGCAGCACAAACTCCCAGTTTAATGAAGTTTAATGACATCTATGGAGACCAGAGGAGTGAAACGAACCGATCAGCGCGAGCCAGCAGACACAATAGTAGACAAACACAATAAGAAAAAATAACACATTGAAATTCACTGTGAAGTCAAAGGAGACTGCATGCCTATTAATATTGATTTGCTCTATTCTTTTCAAAGATCATATAGTATAGATCAGGGGTCGGCAACCCGCGGCTCTTTAAGCCCTCTACTCTGGCCATCTTGAGCTTAGACAGGACTATTTAAATTGTGTTGCACGGTTGAAAATGTTTCGTATCTTGTATTTTGAGGTGATACTGTGAAACATAAATAAATAATACATTTAATAAATGTTATTAGGTCAACTAAAATATGCGTCATATCCTGCTGTCCCGCGCCAGAGCCTTTTCTTGCAGGCGAATAACCTGACCCCCGGCTCGATGAGCGAACTATGGATAAATCAAAGAAAAGTATCGGAGGAACACAGAGGGTCTGCGTGGTTAGAGTTATTTGCTTTCACAGCAAACGATGCTGGCTTACCGGTATGTTTGATATGTAGAGAGAAGTTGTCAAAGGTGCTGCAGCCTTTACGTATTGGAGGGAAAACACGGAAGAGGAAGACAGCTGACGATCTTCAGTCATAATTCAATCAGTTAACTCTTTTTAGGGTGCAGCTATATGTTTTATTTATTTCAAAGTGGGTCCATTTTAATTATATTCATTTTCTTCAAATGTGCAGAGGACTCCCCAAGTGCTGTGTTGATTTATTTTAAAGTAGGCCTGTGTATTTTTTTTAATTCTCCTTATAAGAGTTCTTTGTTTCTTATTAGAGGTTAACAGTTTTATATAATGTAATAAATAATAAATGCAAAAAAACTGTACTTTTTGTCTATGATGTAACAATAAATAGAACTTTATAAGCTATCAAGCTATCAAATATGTTTTGCGGCTCCAGACAAACATTTTTTTTGGAAAAGGGGGCAAAATGGCTCTTTTGGTCAAAAAGGTTGCAGACCCCTGGTATAGATCATTGTTTGCATCATTGCATTTTAACTTCAGTAGACAATTTTTGGTCCATTTACATGCAGTTCACGACCACCATCGACAGATATGTTGAACGAACACCACAAATACACAGTACAATGAGAGACTTCTCTACATGGTTCCTAAATGAACATACACAAGGGTAATGTTAAATGGACTGTATTTTATACAGCCCATTATCCAGTCTTTACGACACCTCAAGGCGCTTTATATTTAGAAATCATCATTCACACCGCATTCATACAGAGCAATGTGCCATTCACACACTGTTGGCCACGACATTGGGAGAAACTAGGGATTAAATATGTTGCCCGAGGAAACATCCACATGTTGACTGCAGGGGCTGGGATCAAACCCCCAACCTTCCGATTGAAGGATGACGGCACTACCTCACAGCCACATGGCATTTAAAAATCCATATGTAAGTCTTAAATGAAGATAATCACGCAAACAGGCTTTTTTTGGTGGCTTAAAGTTATTCTGGAACGTCTTTAGCACAAGGTTAGCAGAGGTTATTTTAGCCTGAGCTGTGTGTATGTCTGTGTACAAGAGTACAGGTGTTTCATTGAAAGTGCATCTGCATGAGGGAGCATACCTATGAATACCTACGTGATTGTGTGTATGAAAGTGCACGCCCTAAGTGAAGTCAGTGTGAGGGAGGTTGGGAGAGTGCAGAGGGATTTTTTTTAGCTTGCCAAACAAATGAAAGAGACTAGCTAATGGGCAGCTGTCATGGGCAACAAGCTAAACATCTCTGGCATGTGCCAACAGCCTCAACTCCTAATGGGAAAATAACACATAATAAGATACCAGCACGAGCACGACCACCCATAATTAACCCAAACTCCTCTGAAATATCTTTAAAAAAAAATCTCTGGAAAGAATCCATATCAAAAGAGATATAAAAGAAGCAAAATGCATTATGGAGGAAGAATTATATGACATAATCTGATGTGGAGAGGATCTTAGGTGGGATAGACTAAACTTGAGTATACCGTGGAGGAGAATCTGATTAGGAGATCACATGAGAGGGAAGCTGTGTAGCAGACAGGAGCTGATGCAACCCTCTGCAAAAACAGTCGTGCGACCAGACACAGAGATGAATCCTTTTCTTTAGATCAATTTGCACACAAATCAGAAGTGGAAAAGGCCTACAAAGACCTTGGCATGAAAGACAAGACGTACTAGCAGTGTTGCATGATTAAGTGTTCAATTGGTGTGGCCCTTCTGGCATGGATGAGATTATTGACAAAGCTCTCTGTGGGACAAACTCACCTACTAGTCTCTTAATATAGTAGTCTTTCAATGAATAATGAGTTTATTGATGTGTGTGTGTGTGTGTGTGTGTGTGTGTGTGTGTGTGTGTGTGTGTGTGTGTGTGTGTGTGTGTGTGTGTGTGTGTGTATTTCTGAGATCAGCACATCTGCTGTGAGGTTCAATACTCCAAGTACAGTGCATGAATCACGAGGCAGGTGTCAATAAATGCAAATCCATGGAGACACATGCCAAGCTTACACACTACAGGAGATTTGGAAAGACTGCAGAGTATCGATGACACATCAAGAAAACAAAACTATGATGAAACTATTAAAGGAAATAACTGCTTACTGTACCTAGTCCTAACTCCATATGTTGTTACTGAAGCTCACTTCAGTAACAAGTGAGGAGGGATTTGAATATTTGGGACTTACAAGAAGGTTGACGGTGCAGCTCATGCGGTTGTTGCGGCTGTCATCGTTCATCACGGTGCGGTAGTCAAGGAGACGAATCAGGAGTCCCTTCACCAAGGAGACAAAGTGCTGCACCTGTGGCCTCAGTGGGGGCTTCTCTGCTGCACAGTCCAGCAGGCTGGAAGACAAGCATTCGCGAGTTAATCATCAGAAGATATGCCCTTTAAATGCAATGTTTTATGCTGCAAATGTTGTGAGTGTATTCCTGGTAAACCACTGATGTGAATCCAAACTGAACAATTGAGGGTTAGCAGGAAATCCACTCCCTGAATTCATTTTTTTTTCAGACAATAGCAAAGCAAGGCCAGCCAGAATTTAAATAATTTCTCAAATGTAAAACCATATTCTGGCAGTACTATCACTTCACTCACTACTTTTGTTGGTAGCTTTTTGTTTATCTACAGAAGAAGTCTACATTTTCAAGCATTATTGGCTGCCGTTATGGTTTCAAATGATAATACTCAGGCCTACATGGTCTCCAGTAGTTGCATGTATCGCTCGTCTCCTCCTCCACCCTCCACCTCATGGTCCAACTTCAGAATGATCTCATTCTCAAACTACAGAGGAAAGACAAAGAAAGACAGAGCAAACAGGGAGAAGAGAAAACAAATGAGATCAGGACTAGAAGAAGAAATCAATTATGCAAGTATAATTAAGGTGTCTCTTTTACTTTCATGCACTGTCACAGGAAAATCGATGTATATGGACAAATAGTGTGTGCCAGTGTCACTGTGTGTATTTGGTACATGCAAAAGGAAGTTTGTATTTTAAATCTTAATATTTCACTGCAGCAAACAATAACGGGCCACACATATCTGTATGCATGGATGCGTTTTACCTTCTGGAAGTTTCCAGAGTGTGCATTTTCACAGGTGATCATGTCGAAGAAGATGGGGATGGTGGCCCTCCTCAGCTCTTCTTCTGGGATCAAAGTCATCTCCAGGATGGGACCCACCATGCCAGGGATGAAACAGATCTTATGGCTGCCTGAAACACACACACACAAACACACACGTTATGAAAAAGGCAAGTAACATCATACCTGAACCATCTCCCCTTGTTCACCCCTGTTCCAATTGTTGTCCTCAGGAATATTCCCCAGGTCTTCCTCTACCAACACATCCTAATTCAAAAGTAGTGTTTCCTTCTACAACAAGGAACACTGCTTCCTATTTCAAGGAAATAACCCTGTACTTTACATGCAGCTTTCTCAGAATACCAAGTAGCCCTTTATTTAAAGAGCAATATGTTATATTTATTTATGTGAAAAGGTGCTGACATTGTGAACCCTCATTACCATGCTATACAGAAAACAAATTCCACTGGCCCCTTGGTTTCGTTGTGCACCGACATATACAAATGCGTATATCTTGCTGTGAAGGAAAACACACATTTGCATTCCCAAAAGCAGCAAAGCAACCACACTTGTATAAAGTACATTTATTTACCTAGTTTGTACCAGATGTCGCGTATAGCGAAGCCAATGAGTCTTCTCATGTCACCATACCTGATTTAAGACACAAATAGAGACAGGGAGAGAATGGGTTTAAGAATTAAGGTCTTGATGAATGCTGTTATTTTCACCTTCAGAAACTGAACATCCCAGAGGGAAATATAATGCTGTGCTAATCTGCCCCAACATGAACCAAATTGAATGTCTATCAACAGGCGTCGCACAGTGGGAGTGTAAACGGTAAATGCAGACTCCAAAATAGATCACAAATCACTGAGTGTTTCATTAGAGCAGGGGCAGTAACTGTGGTAAATAAGGAAATTAAATGGCCCTTGTCTCACTTGGCGAGAATCTTGTTCCTCTTAGTTGGCGAGAAATGCTGAAGCTGCAGAGATTCCTGGGTAATAAACGCCACCGCCAAGTGGAAGTAGTTATTCCACAACTAGACAGGTAGAAAGAGCAAGGAACAGAAGAGGGAGAAAATAGAGATCTATGTTAAATAAAATCAGGCAAATAAAGGTACTGTCAATATTATAAAAAGCCTGTAAATACACACTTACCTGTACTTCAAAGTCGTCGTTATTGAGGAACTTCTGGTTCATTGTGTCTGCATAGGTGTTGATAGCTCTCAGGAACACTCTGATGGACACAAATAATGTACTGATGCAGTTGTTTGATTGTTTTATAAAGCATAAACACACATCCTTAAGGAAACAACTATGTCCTTAAGGAAACAACTATGTTTATGTGGAATAAATTGAGGAAATTCGTTAATGATCAAAAATGCACGTTATTTGTTGTTTATCAAACAACAACAGCTTTGACAGCAGCTCTGGCCCACAACTTCATAGTGGTATTTCAGACAAGTTTGTGATATTGCTTCAGATTCTAAACATCCGTCACAACAACAGATCCTGATAGCAGCTTCAAACGGTAAGCAGGTGTATCAGTGAGTAGTGACTTGATGGATTTCTAAAGTTAGGTAGCCCCAGCCATCCTACCCGGGCGCTATTCATCTATCAGTCAGGGTTATTCACCGCTAAGTGACATTCCCTCTGTCTTACTTTGTCTTTCAAGCGTGACTTTCTCTACCTCTCCTAACCCCAGTTTGCAGACTCCTTATCAACCTGTCCTTACTTCCACCTCATTCTAACTTTAACCTCTTTTCCTTTTCTATTCCTCTGACACAGTTGTAACCTTCCTTCTAGCTGACAGCCCAAGAACTATTCCACAGCAGCTCACTAATAAATGCTTTGGTCACATCAGCCTTTTTCATCTTTGCAGCCCTGAGCCCCAGCTTTGCTATCTCTAACTTATCCCTGTGTGGGTTTGTGTGGATGTCAACAATATGTTATATAATTCACACACACCAAGCCTCAACGACCCAATAGCAGGTTGGGCTGGGGCGGTTGTGGCCTTTTCTGTTGTCAGAGACCTGGGAGAAGTAGGAGGATGTTTCAGATCTCAGGTCTGTGTGTGCTTCTAGTACCTGTTCTGTACCATGATCATGGCCATCCAGTCAGAGGGGTACACATGTTTCCCAATCAGATCCTTGAAAAGCAGGAAGGACTCCATCAGGAAGTCCTGCAGTGAAACGGACAAAAGAAAGAGAATGTGAGTGTATCACACATATTTCTTGTTTCATATTTCTCTTATTTATTTATTTAATTTATATTTCTTGTTTCATATTTCATATCCAATAATTCATTCACAGCATTCTATTTCCATGTAAATGACTGCTTTATTTTATTGCTATTTAACTATATTTTATTACGGTGTCCTTAAAGATTTCTTGTTTTATATTTTACGTCTGCACCACGACATCAAGTCAAATTCCTCGTATGTGTGAACCTACCTGGCAATAAACCTGTTTCTGATTCTGATCAAACTTTATCTAAATTAATTACAGTCGGGAGTTGTTTTTGACCATCAGTGTATATTTAACATTCAACATATTTAGCATTTTGACATCTGCAGGTGTTTGTGTACTTACCACCAGATCAGAGGACCCAGCGAAGGTTTCTATGTATGTCTCATAGTGACGATCATCCATCTGACTGAGTATAGCTGTCATGCAGGCTACCACCCTGGACTACAAATGGAAATTGTGAGAGAAAGAGAGAGAGAGGCATCATTACTTTTTGGGCACAGTGCAGCTGCTCTTAAACCGAGTGCTATTCATCTGAAGCCAACGGCATTTAAATCACTTAAGGTAATTTCTTGCTATACCATGTCAAAGACTGCCTGGGGTAGACTTCAGAGAATACCTCAGGGCAATTCTGTCACTCGCTAATTTGAGCTGCAATCTATACTAAAGTGCAAGCAGCATTAACATCCTCACATACAGGAAGTGGAGGAAAAGGGCTATGAGGAATTCTGTGATGTTATTTTGAAAGATGCTGTATGCATTAACAAGCCTTTACCACAATATTATTCACAAATTACCATAATTACTATCAACAAACATAGACATTGCCAGGAGCAGTAGCTGCCTCTTCAGTTTCAATTGTGGCTCTCGGCCGCCGGGAAAGATTTCAAACACATTTTTTGAAATGCTATACAATACAAATACAAAAAATAGACATTAAAGCAATATAATTGGTCATTACAGCATATGTTAAAAAGTGTTAAAAGAACAAAAATCCCTTATAACGGCAGCTTTCCGAGACAGGGCAAATTATCGTAACGTCAATCAGAGCAGCAACATAAAGGTCTCGTTCATACAATATGAAATACATGATTTTGTGAACCACAGTGTGATTATTATGGATTAATATAAACAACATATTAAGCAAATCTTGTCACATCAAACCAAAACATATGAGAATGCTGACATTTTGGAGGCAGTTTACATACTGCAGATTTCTTTCAGTGTTGACGTTTTTAATAAAGTATTCAAACCTCATTATGTTCACTTATCTCTGAATATGTCCCAAGGCGCAAACTGCGCACAAAAACACACACAGAGACTGGTAAAAGGAGAATTGGATATAGAAGATGAAAGTGATGAAGAGTCAAGAGATTAGAGAGAGGAGGGAGAAGAAGCAAGCGTTACTCTGAAAGTAAGACAGACATTAAAGATGAGGATAGGCAAAAAAAAGATTTAAACAAGTTTCAAGTTTGAAATGTGTGTGAAGCTGCTTAGGCTGAGAAGAGAATCCTTGAGCTGGATTATAAGCAGAACATTCATGGAAAATTTAGTGCAAAACCTCCACAACCAGAGGCTCACACTGTGAGGGGCGGCAGGCAAGAAAGGAGAAGAAAACGGATAAATAAACTGCATAAAAACTCCACTGCACTAACCAGAAGAGAACAGCAATTACCAATGGCATGAATGTCAAATGAATTTGCAAAGATAACAACTATTAAACATTATATTCCGGTCATTTAACCATCATACCATTCAAATGATCTGATTTCCATCTGCTCTAGACATTTGTCTGGTTCTACTTTCTGTATTTTTCTCTAGGAATATACAGTCTATTTTGGCCTTTGTAAATGATGTCTCGCCAACAAAAAATAACCAATTGGAAAGCTGAAATGAAACATGGTTGGACTCAAATTGAAAACTGTTGGTGGAAATTAAAGAAAAGGAAAAAAACGGCCGTGCTACAGCCATTTTTATTTTCATTTATTGAGCTGTCTGTAAACAAGCAGACATGATTCTCGTACTAATGGCAGTCGGCAGGGTAAGCCTGAAAAGGGTTTGCACCAGGAGGACAGAAAAACAGGAATACGGTCCAGTGTGCCCTGCTTAAACCTGCAGTCAGTTTGTTTTCCTCCACCTTACATTCATGTTTTCTGATCCTTCCCTCTGCTGTGCGTAATTGCTGGAATGAGGTACGCAAACCTTTTTTTTAAAACATGGCAGATGTGCAGGAACTTCTGTTTCATCTCAGCAGCCAAGGTTTGAGTGCAATTATCCTCCGGAGTTTTTGGCACAAAAGGGGAACACAAGACAGAGATGAAGGATGATGGATGGCTAATTAAAGATGAAAGATGATCGGCGTCTAATGTGGTGACAGCTTGCATCTGATCAAAATGGGCAGGGTGTGTGTGTTTGCCTGCATTCTTACAAGAAAACATACTTTTTTCAGTCATGTATGCACACTGAAACATATTTTCACTTTGTACAACTCAAACTAAAATGAGAGCACATAGAGGGAAGTGTTTACATTTGGACTTAAAGTTGTTCAGCTGGGGAAGACAAGTGTATGTTATCTGGTGTGTGTGTGTGTGTGTGTGACCTCCTCCCCCCTCCACTCAACTCTCTTCCTGCAGTGCAGTGACACCAGAGACCCTGGGTGTTTCTCAATGTCGAGGAAGGATGCTCCAGAGCCACTATTTCAAGCATACTACGTCATCGAGTCCCGCCGAAGGACTGTTCCAATGTCCAGCATACTTGGAATTCTACCGAGGCCGGCGTACTTCGTAGCGAGAAATGTCGAGGCTGCACATGTGTAGACTCCGCGGTCTTAAAATCCCCACAATGCTTAGCGCACGGACCAATTTCCAAATCTTTGGCGGAAATCGCGCTCCATTTAAAGCGGGGCCTCGCATATGACGCACACGTGCACACCTGTTAGCCTGTTCCACAATTCTTCGTTTTCCAAGGCTAGGAAGGATTCTTGCCTCGCTTCTGAAGCAAGTGACTCGGAAGACGTGCTACCAAGCAAGCGTCCTCGACATTGAGAAACACCCCCTGTCAGCACACTCTCTTCTTTAATCCCTCTTTCTTCCTCTCTCGCTACTCCAACGCAAGTCAAAGTTACTATAGAGGGAACAAGGTTAATATTGAACTTACATTTTGTCTTAGTCACTAAAATGTCCTCATGTCACTGTAGGGAAAACTCAACAGAGATATACTTTGTTTTTGTCAATTTTTCCAACATCACAGCAAGTAGGGATGAGAGGAAATGGATTTATGTAAGAGTGGAAATTCTTACATCTTATAATTCTGAAATCATTCACAACCTGAACAAAAGAAATCAAGCAGAATACGAGTTTCACATTGTTTTTGTGTTCAATTGATTTTTGAAAATGGCAAGTTTCTTAAAAAGTAAAAAGGCAGCCAGCCTAAGCCTACCAATTTCATTTTGGGATTTTATTATTTTTTGAACTTGTTATTCTAAAAGTCACAGAATAGAGAAATCCTGTTTTCACTTTTTAAGTAAAAATGCACTGTGTAACATAAATAAATGTAGCATTTTGTCTAATGTATGCCGTTGTGTGTTAACCAGGGAGTTAACGTAATTGAGAATCGATTGATATCCCATTTTCAAATAGAACAATTCTACGATCTTATACACTCTTTACTCTGCTTTTGTGCAGTAATTTGACACAAGCAGAATGGAGTAGATTCTCAACTTAGCACTCTATGCACTGAATCAAAAATCAATTACGATCCTGAAAGAGTCACAGCCCTAATAGCAAGTGTTAAAATGATGTTATTATACTACAGTGCATGAATGAGAACACCAACAGGGAGGAGCAGGCAGAACAACTTCTCCTTCTCACCCGCTCTCTCTTGCTCCTATGCCTCCCTAGTGTGTAATGGTTGATCAATTACACACACACACACACACACACACACACACACACACACACACACACACACACACACACACACACACACACACACACACACACACACACACACACACACACACACACACACACACACACACACACACACACACACACACACACACACACACACACACACACACACACACACACACACACACACACACACACACACACACACACACACACACACACACACACACACACACACACACACACACACACACACACACACACACACACACACACACACACACACACACACACACACATTTCAGTAGTTTCTGGTTTCATGTTCTCTATGTTTATGTGTGACTGTGTGTGTGTTTGTGTACAGTACCTCACGTGATTTATTGCCCTACTTCCATGTAATTGGTCTTCTCTGAGGACTTATGCTTTCAATCTCCTCTAACGCTTAAACTCAAACAAACAAAAATGCTCAAGGGCCCAAATATCTGAACATAAACTGTTGGTGTCTTCACACATGGAGGTTTTTCATCAACACATGATATGATATTCAAAGACATAAGGGAACCGTATGAGCCTCCTGTATAATGATGAAACTCCTGACAGGCAGAGAGAGAGAGCTGCGGCTTGTTGAGGCAAAGGCATTACGCAACATTGAAGAGATTAGTGACAAAACAGGACACAGATGCTGGCAAAGTCTGCGTCCTCCTTGTCCTCCTCCTCTTTATAAATCCATTTTCTCAAGCTGGACGTGTTCTTACGCATTTTCAAAAGCTGGACTCATTAATAATGTATTAATAACTGTAATTGCAGAGATGCATACAAATTACAATAACCTGAAAATGCACCTGCATGCCTAGAAATAAATGTAAGCCTTGCAAGGATCCTCCCCAAGGTTTAAATGTTCATTATACTGCTCAGCACAAAAGTGTCAAAGTAAAGAGCTACTAAATACTTCACCTGGGCTTCACAGGCTTTAAAGCTGGCCCTCGGGCTCACTTTGTCTCTCCTTCCTTCAGCAGACATCCATCGTGCATCACCTTCTTTAGCAGCAACAACGCAACATCATTAAAGATAATGGGTGTTTCTCAATCGCGAGTAAAGCTGCTGCAGAGCCACTATTTCAAGCATACTACGTCATCGAGTGCCGCCGAAGTACTGTTCCAATGTCCAGCATACTTGGAAATCTACCGAGCCCGGCGTACTTCGTTCGGAGACATTTCGAGGCTGCACATACGGTGGCCCGGAAGTGCAAGACACCACAGCATTTCACAAAACACCACAGCATTTCAGAAAACGCTACACCATTTCAGAAAACACCACAGCATTTCAGAAAACGCTACACCATTTCACAAAACACCACAGCATTTCAGAAAACACAACAGCATTTCAGAAAACACAACAGCATTTCACAAAACACCACAGCATTTCACAAAACACAACAGCATTTCACATTGGACGGAAAGGGTATTCCTTTAGGGAGAACACTTCTAGTTTGTGATTGGACAGAGCCAGCCAGAGAAGCACTGTTGTGATTGG